AACACAGTCTATCTATAGAGGCAGACACTCTTAAAATTAATTTCTGGGTCCATTGTTCAAAAATATCCTCCATTATGTCCAATGTTAAAATATGTTGCTCCATACTGTATTAGTAAGTCAAATTTAAGTGTTCTTCTCCTTTAATTGTAATGTTTAGTTCCTGTTAATTCCCTCTGGTGTCCAGCCTTCAAAGTCCCATCCTATCATGTCTTTAAAAAAAAAAAAGAATTCAAAATGAGCATTTTTCCATGGGAAGGATTATTTCCAGAATCGTATTTCAAATTTATCTGGACCTTTAGTCCATTTGTAACTTTATAAAATCTAAGTATTAGTCACCCTTTTGCTTTTTATTCCAATTTTTTTTTCTTGCCTTAAACTTGTATTGAAAACTTCTTTCGCTAAGGATTGAAGAAACTCACCCAGTGCTGTAAAACATGTTGATCCAAAGGTTCCTAATAGCTTAATATCACTTAACAAGCAATTTCCAAAAGTGATTAGAAAAGGAAGTATGCGAACCCAGTGTCCTTAAAGGCACCAACTATGATTTGAGCAAGATGGCTACTCCATTGTCTCCCAGAGCTCTAAACCCACCGGAGACCACTGTCTTGTGGTCTCCTCATGAGGAGCAACTGTGGGCAATCTCAAGTCCTCTCCTTGTCCAGAGAAGAATTAGAAAGAGTTGGTCTACTCACCGGCTCTTGATTCTGGTGTGGTTGTCAGCTCTACTTTTAGCAGAGCTGTCTTCAGTTTGCCATTTCTTCCCCGGAAATCTCAGTATTTGAAACATTCTCAAAGTACTGTCAGAAAAGTACAAGCTGATTTACATGAACTAAATGAAGCTTGCACATCACCAACCAAAATGTACTGGCAATATTTAAATTAAGTTGCTCTAAGGAAATAATTTAATACATATTGTTACTGAAAATTTAAGAACAGATTTAGTACATCTTCAGGAGTTGGAGATCATCTTCAGTAGTTTGTTTTTAATTTTTCAGTGACCATTTTTTCCTACATGCATTCTGTTCATAGTACCAAACTGAGATCATTCACAGTAAATCATGTATACATGAGCTTTCTCTTTTATGCCTCTGTGAGCAGTAAAATTATTATTACTGTTAAGTTAGGTTATTATAAGAACATACCATTTACCACTATAATATAAAGAATTATTATCTCCTTGTGACTGCATTCTCTAGCAACTATCACAGTTGCATTTAAGACCAATATACATATTGTAGGGGGTAGAACTGCAAATCATGATAAAGAGATAAAAAGATCTTTTTCTGCTGGGAATATAGATATTCACTGTTTATATTTGATTCTATATTTGGATTAATGGTAAAAAATGCACACATTCCCAACAGCATCATGCAGTTTTCCCTAAAATATGTATTTTTGTGCAAGAATGATATTATAACATTCTAGCGCCTATTCGAAATATGATGCTGTCCAGTCTGCATATTAATTTAAGAAATTCGGCTGGATATCAGTTACCCAGATGAGGGGAATACAGATTAGAATTTGACTTCAACTTTTTAAAAAAGAATGTACTATGACACTGCAGCCTTCCCTCCCCCCAATATGTTGATTGAGAATGTCTGTCAGAAGGATGTAAATGCATTTAAAGGTATACCATTACTGTATTTCCCAGTTTGTGAACCATGTTCAGTTTATGCTATCATAGGGCGAACAGTCTTGATCACCTAAACACAGATACAACTTTCCTAATACTTCCCCCATTAACATGGACGCCTCCATTGTACTCATAATTCTTTTTTTTTCCCTTTCTTTTTTTAAGCTTCTGAAGAGGGGTAAGAAGTAGTACAAATATGATAAATAAAAATCATGGATGGATGAAGTTTTTGGTGTTTGGTTATTATTAGAGAACTAAACATTCATATGATAAATAAAAATCATGGATGGATGAAGTTTTTGGTGTTTGGTTATTATTAGAGAACTAAACATTCATATGATAAATAAAAATCATGGATGGATGAAGTTTTTGGTGTTTGGTTATTATTAAAGAGAGAACTAAACATTCTCAAAATGATTATGTTTTCAAAAAAACCAACAACAGATCCCCCCAAAAGAAGATTGGTTTTTTGTAAAACAAAAGCAAATACAGTTCACTAACAGGATGTCTGAATGCCAAATTCAGGTTCAGTTAATTCCGATTAATTCACCCTGTTTCACATCAGGTTCATTTCAGTCAATTCAAGCTAATAGTCATACGGTTGGCTATGAATATCACAAATTTTCTCTTTCTTATACTGACAAATTCTGTACTGAAATAAAACCTTTTTAAAGCAAAATCTACATTCATAATCAATATTCAAAATTGTTTCCAAGCATTATCACTTTTTGGGCTTCAGCTTCTGAAATTTAAGTCTGAACAGTTAATAAGGCTGCACAGTAAAATCACTTGTAGAAGTTAAATGATTTCATTATTGTTATATTTATTACTGAAATTAAAATTTGTTGTTTAATGTTCAGTCTCCAGTTACTTGGCATAACACTGTTCATCCCTAACTTTCACCTCATGAATTATGTGCACAAGTCAGTTCATATTGACATTATGCAGAGTTTTCTAAAAGCTATAAATAGCATAATAAAGTTACTTTCAACATGTTGACATCTGAACACCATAATTAACAGACTGAGTTCAGCATCTCCTTAATAGGTTGTCGGTTTTGTTTGCTGATATTTTGTTAGCTTTTTCCACTTCATAAAGTCTGGAAGGTTGGGCTTCATATGTTTTGCAACTTAAATGATAAAATGTTAAAAACATAAAACCACTGGCATGATTCAGAGGATATTAGATACGCACAGTTAAGCACTTAAACCCTGCAGATACTCCTGAGCCTTACTTAAGCCGTTGGTTATTTGCAGTACATGGAAGTTAAACCTTGAAGTTTTCTATACATTTTCCTTGCCTAGGCAGTTTCCTTACCAAATCAGTGTTGGTGGGAAAGTTGATAAATGCAAGAGAATGTTCCTGTCCAAGAATGGAACAGGCACCTCAAACAAACTTATCTGTTCCTTGGAGCCAGTCTGTCCAGAAAGATTCGGGGATTCTTTGTAAGGGATCTGGGAGGGGATGTGGCATGTAGACGCTACAGTGGGAGACAGCATTAAGGAAAACTGCTGTATACGCTGTACTCTTCTTCCGTCTCTTGAATATAGCCCAATGATTTAACTCCACCCTGTTTATCCTATACAATCCAGAATTGAATGAGGATGCCACCTGCAATTAAAATCTGGATTTAAAACATGATGGGTAGGGAGGGAAACAATTTTTAGAAACTCCTTCATCTGTACCAATTCTCTAATTTCTCACTTTTAATCATATTCAAGAAAAAAAAAACTAATGGTGCTAATGCGGTTTACTTATTTCTTTCTCTGCTCAATGAACCAAAAATTCAGAATTCTGTAGTTCAGAAACTACTGCTAGTGTAAAACATAGCAAAACTATCAAATCAAATGTATGAATCACCTTGCATGCTCTGAATCAGTTGTAGTGATGTTCTGACCCTTTCTGAGTACAGTTTAAAATGGTTGCTGAGAACTAGGCTATTTGACGGACCACCTCAACATGAGCCTGCCTTGAGTTTTAAGACAAGCTTCTGAAGGTCCTGCCAGAATAGTCATGATAGAAGAAAGGCTGTTTTATGTTTTACCAAAGACTGTTTTGGAATAGTCTTTACTATAAGGTGCACTTTTAAGTTATTTATTTGCCTGCTTATTTGATATATGAAATCTTTTTGTAGCTTAAGCCTTTAAAAGTAATACAATACATTAAAAAATGAAAGAGGTGCATAAATGTCGTAGACATAAATATAAGTCTTTGGAAGAAAATTTTTGCTGAAACAGATGAAACACAAAAAATCACCACTGTGCACTTGAATGTTTCTGTCTTTCCACTACTCCCTGTATTGGTGCTGTTCCTCCATTTTTTAAAAACATATAATAAATATAGAAAACCATATGTATTCATCTATTTAAAATAATATTGATACAGAGATTTGTCTTTTATCCCCTAAGATAGAGATCATAATCCCTAAAGAAAGATGTATTAAGCTAGAACGTTATTTTTAATGTATATATAAGTACATCACAAAAGCTAATTTGCATTTTTTAAAAGATCCAAGATGCTCAAGTGTCACTTGAAAGCAGTACATACGCATCTTGGTTACATGTTCTGTTGATTTCAAATTGAACTTGATCATAAAACTCATCAACCTCCTCTTCTTCTGTATCGGTGGTTGGAGTATAAACTTTAAGGATCATCACATTAAAGGGTGGTCCATGAAGTCTAATCTATATTATTTGGTCATTGATTACATTGCAGCCACACACTATCCTTGTTATACCCTTTCTAACTATAAAAGCAACATCATGTCTTCTTTGTTTTTTATGTCCTGAGTAATAAACAATGTAATCTTCTGACTGGAAGTGTCTGATCCCAGTCCATCTCAATTCACTGATGTCTAAGATGTCAATTTGTAGTCGTTTCATTTCATTGTTCAGTGTGTTGAGCTTTCCTCTGTTCATGCTTCTTACGTTCCATGTTCTCACCATAATTCTGTCTTTGCAGCTTCAGATTTTCCTTTCCTGTATGACAACATCAGCAACTAGATGTCCCAAAGGCTTTAATTTAGCCACGTCTTAAACACTGTTAGTATTCTGAAAGATCTTCTGCTCTTCCTCAGTAACATGTTGAGTGCCATCCAAACTGAGGGACCCATCATCTTTCACTACAATGTCAATCAATTTATATTTTCTGTCCATGCAGTTTTCTTGGTAAAAATACAGAAGTAGTTTATCATTGCCTTCTCCTGCACAGTACAACAGGACTTGGAGGGGATGGGAGGACAAAAATATTTTATATATGCTTATTTATATACCAAGTTTAATCTTAATTTTTATTGTAAAATATTTGTAAATGAAGTATTCCTCCATTATAATTTAAAAAGTTAATTATTGCATTTGTTTTTCATTAGGGATTGCTTGTACAGGATGCACCTCTGAAGGATATGAAAATTTTTAATGATCGTCGATTTGTAGCGTCTTTTAGTGTGGTGAATGCTACTAAACGGGATGCTGGCAATTACCGCTGTATGATTCGCACAGAAGGAGGAGTTGGAGTATCAAATTATGCAGAACTAATCATTAAAGGTATTTCAGAATTGATATACAAATGAAAAGGTTAGAAACCAAATTCCTGAAATGTTTCATATTGAACAAATTGTTTCCATTGGTGATGTTACAAAGTATATAAATTAAAATGACCAACTCAGGTAACTCCAGGCTTGATGCTAATATTAAATGATCTTAGAGGATTATTGGTTGAGGATATGAATTTGCATATACTTTAGTATGCAGATAGACTAAAGACTAAGAATCCAACAGATTTATAGAAAATGTTATACAGACTGTATGATGCACCAAAGAGTATAGATCTGGAAATCTATAAGGTACTTGTGTTTTAGACAGGGAAAATGGAATTAATGATATACATAAATAGGGAAGGGTTAGATCGAGTAGATGAATTTGTATACCATGACACAGTGTTTACCACTTATGGGAAATTGGGTGAAGAAGCAAAAATGGCTGTGTACAACAGCATGTTTCTGCCCACTTTGTTATATTGAACTGGGAGTTGGATATGCCATGTCTATTCAGGAGAATACAAAACTGAGCAACCATTACAAATGAAGTATGTTGAGGTGGTTGGGTATGAAGACAGAGTTATGGGATGGAGATGAAGGAAAGATCAAGAAAACTGTAGAGTTGATATGATCATCAAAAAGATAGAGGTGAGAAGTCGAAAGAACAAAAAGCAGTGTACAAAGCAGTATATGTAGAAGGTGGAACCAAGGATAATTTGCAAAGAACGAATGTTGGAAAATTATAGCAGATGGTTTTGGTGTAAACTAGTTTGAACTATGTTTCCTTATCTTTTTCATAGCTCATACTTTTAATATCTTTGGCTTGCCATTTCTTACTCCTTTACTATGCTTTGCATAGCACTCATTATCCTGAATGGGAATAATGTGATGAATATGTATATATGTATGTATGTATATATATATGGCACTAAAATGGAAGAGGAAAAGGGAGTGATCAACAAAATTATAGCCAGAAAAAGAGGAAAACGAGAAAAAGAAATTCTTTGAAGTTACAGCAATTTACTGCCATTGGTCTTGACCCCACTATGTTGAACCTATTTATCATATTGCTATAATATTTGCTCTTTTCCACCTCTCTCAGCACATTTATTCTGTATGCAGGGAATAATTGCTTACCCTTAGGGTGTAATCCCATTAGCTACTTGTAGTTTGATGAAGTAATTATGGTAATCCCTGTTGCTTGTGCTTTAGCTTTTATGAGACCACATGCAGATCATTCCTTGTGACCTAAAAAGCCCATTTAAACAGTGTACTAACCTTGGAACAGATTATGTTTAAATAATAACATTATGGGGTCTTTAAGCTCATTTACCTGGTTACTGATAGACAGTTACACAGTATTTACATTTCTTTAATTATGTTTCACCAAAAATTGCTTATTTCCATGAAGCATGTTTTTTAAATATATTATTATCGGTAAGGTAAAACAATATGCTATTATGAGTTCCCCTTCAGGCTTTGTGATTAGTTTTGAATGGCTAAGCTTTTTATATAAGAATAATGTTAGTTTGTGTTCTTGTGTTTTTGCTGCATTTTGGGGATTCATCATATATAAATGTTTTCTCATCTGTAGATACACATATAAAGAAAACGATGGTATGTGTGGGCCTTTTCAAACATAATTTCAGACCATAATTTAGCATTATGCATATGAGGTAATAAACAACTTGGACTCACACACTCTCCTTTCTAAGTTTTGCATGCCTTCAAGAAGATTAGGGCTTTTATTTTTAAACCAACTAGAATTCTTCATTAAGTCCAAACACAAAGTGAAGTCTGATTAGGTCAAATAGAACTGGTCAACAAACTAGATCTAACAGTTTGATACTGGCTTATGATACTGGCTTATGATACTGGCTTATTTCATAATAGTAAATTAAAAAGTCAGTCTGAATTTCAATTTAATAATTAAAAATGAAAACAGTTGCTTTTTGTCTCCTGCTAAACATAGGAGGAAAGAAAGGAGGATGGAAGTGTCAGGCCTTTTCTGTGTGACTTTTGCTGCTGGCAGAAGCAGCTAAACAAAACACACTGTTTACCATAATAGGTGACTGGCTTGTTTTGAATCAGCCAGAGTCAGAAGCTATGATTTTTGGTTTCTTTGGAAAAGACAAGCCATGGATTCCAGTTTCTGTATCATAGTAAGCAAACCCCAGGAAACATGATCTGTAGTTTATTTAGCTGCTCCTGCTGAAAGCAGCTTGTTCCTGGAATGCCAAGGAACTAGAACTGATGTCACCCAGGCTAGCTAGGGAATAAAGCATACTATAATCCATGTGCAGTACAATTACATATGAAAAGTGGCGTTTTCATGAATTTTTCTGCAATGGATAATTGATATGTGATTACATAAGGTAAATTAATCCTAAAAAACAAATATTTTCAATTTTATACTAATATTGATTCTGACTGGGGACAGTGATTAGAGTTGTTCTTTAACAGGCTGACCATTGTAGTTACATAATGTTGCCACCTATAATTTGTCATAGAATTAATGTGAAATATTATTTTTTTAAAAAATTCAAGACATGTAATCCATTTATTATAAAGCAAACAACTCTCAGAAAATGAGCATATAACCTAGTACCTCTTTTTAAACAGGATAACATAAAAGAAATCAGACTTAGCAAAAATGAAAAACAGCATGCTACAATAGATTAAATGGGAAGTAAATTAGCATTTTATATACACACTATGTAGAGCCTTTTCTAATATTGGTCAGCTGTAACAGAGATTAGTTTTAGAATAGAATAAGGCTGCCCAAGAAAATTCCAGATTATAACAGAGTTCAAATATTTTTTGAGGTCATACACAGTAAATCTAGTGGTGTCACAGACACAAAGCATTTTGTTAGGTTTTTAAATAAGGGATGTGAGGAAACTATCTTTACTATCCATGGTTTATATTTCTTAATGTTAAATGGAAGATTTAGCATACTGAATAAAACAGAACAAGCCAAATACCTGTAGAACAGAATGTGGAATGTAAAAGCAAGGGATAACATTTTGAAAACTGTGGCAAGATTCAAGATAATATTTCACACAATTAGAGATATGAACTGATTAAAATACTAGTCTTCCGTCTGTCAAATTATTTCTGGATACAAACATCCATGTATCTACATATCCACACTCTCTGTCCCTATCCTTCTAAGGTATCTTCCTATTTATATATTAACACATTATTTCCAAATAATTTATTCTGAGCGAAAGACTACACAGTATTTTCCTCAGTAGTATTACATCTATAATGTGGTTGAGCATAGCTCTATTACTATAAACTGTGAATTGGAATATGTTTTTTCTGATATGATTGCCATGTATGGGGTCTTTTAATGGTTTTCTGTTTAGTGACTCAGTCATGCATACCTGATCTGTTACATGAACAATCTTTGTACATCTTATTACAAGCAATATAGCAGGGACTGATCTCTATGACTCATTGTAATCTTCACATTGTGGCCATTCAGGAGAAGCTGTTCTTACTCAACGTCTTGTAGCAGTATATTCACAGAAGTATGATCAATGCTTAATCTGTAGTACAAAGGGATAATATCTATGATTCACCATCAGAGTTGGAAACACTTTGAAGACATCATTTCAGATGATGTTCTCCCTTACCCCCAAGTATAAGAGCATAGTACCCAAAGCTAGTACTTCAGTCCTGAAGCACAAAATTCTACCAGGTACACTCCCTCTTTTGGGTAGTAAAATTATAATAGTAATAACTTAAATGGCTAATTTGTTGCTCCTTTTCTGACATTCCAATGCAAAGTCAAGAAAAGTAATGACTTTTTCACTCTGCCTAATGGCAGGCGCAGAGGTATCATTGCAGAGGTAACATTTTGATTTTAAAACTATTGTATTTAAATCTGTTGTGAGTCAGTTTCATATAATTTAAGCTGGGTAGTTTAAATTATATGAAAATAAGTAATTGAATACATATTGTAGTGGTGATGCTGGTGATTTTTGGTGTTCTGAGCACAGCAGATCAAAAAATACCCTCAGGGATAGAAAACCATTAAAAATAAAATCTGTTACAAAATACTTGCATGACCTAAAGTAAATTGGTATAAGTACTAACCTTGATAGGCTCAGTCCTGAATGTGAATTTTGAATGGCAGTTCAACAGTCCTTACCAGCACTTGAAATCAGGACGTAATTAACTGTTGTTTCAGCATGGCTACATAAATGCCTCAGGATGCTCTATTTCGTGTTTTGGTTGAAGAAACACACTAATGATTTTAAATGAACCTAAATCATTTTGAGTTAAGCCACAGCTATTTAAATTGCACAGATTCTGCACAAATCTCTGGATTATGAACAATGGAGTAACTGTCTTTGAAATGACAGTGAATTAATAAATATTAAAATGTTTAAGCTACTTTAGCATCACATACTAACAATGTGTGTGCATTGATTGAGTAATATAATTAACAAAAATTCTGTAGGCATTTTAAAGAGTTGAGAGATTTGTCATTTTTATCCCATAAGTAGCAGTAACTGATGCATGAAATCTTCTTGTACTTGTAGTGTTTTTCTCTATGACATTTACCATAGAGAAAACTTTGTGCTATTTATAATAATTATAGGCTTATGCAGTTGTAGGAAATGCCATACACAACTTTACTAGCTTTACTAGATACATTGTCTAACAATTGTTTTTTACTAGGAAGGAGTAAGAGCAAAAGTCGGAATATTAGGAGATAATTACAGTCATAGGGTTGGAAGGGACCTTGGAGGGCTGGCT